TTGAAGACACTTTTTCTCTCATCCAGCTGAAGCTGAAGCCTGTATCCCCAGCAGCATCCAGCTCTGGAAGGTGATCCCGGTGCGTGGGGTGGCTGGTGATGGCCTCAGCTCAGTGGCATTGGACAGGTGAGACGTGTGATCCAGAGTCTGCCCCTACACTGGGGGTTTGGTTGCTGTCACAGCCTTGGCTGGAGCAGAGTTCTCTCCCAGCAGATAGTGTCAGCGCTGTGGAGCCTCTGCAGGGCTCGTGCAGACAAGGGGTTCCCACTCCAGGTCTCTCCAGTCATTAAGAACTGCAGACTGCTCTTACTTCTTGCTCTATCAAGATGGTGTATGGGTGGGATAAAGGGACTTTCTCTCTCAGCATCACTGGCCCTGGCTGTGCTTCAACATCTTTATATATTTTTAGTTATTTTTTATTTATCCAAAGGAAAAGACACTCATTCTAATCAGTGCTTCAAACTCCTACATAAATACTTCAGCCCATCCTTTCTGACTTTGTGGGACTTGTAAGCATGGTCACAGAGGCAGTTGAACACCAGACCGTGTTTAACTCAGGCCAGCCTGTGGTACTTCTCTCCCGGGTCTGTTTTTGTTACATCCCACATTAAAGAGATGATAGAATTAGGAACCAAATCTTACCCAGAGCCACTCACCAGCTCCTCTTGCTGCGTCCACAGCTCTGGAGCTGTTGCTGGCTTTGCCAGGCGAGCTCAGCGGTGACTCTGCATGTTTATCCAAGAGCTGTGGCTCTGCAGTAGCTACAGGTCTCCAACAACATGCGAGAGCAACGGGAAGGTCTTTGACTGCTCGGCCTCTGTTGCCTGGTGCTGTCACTCGCCCCTCCTATATAAATTTGCAAGAATTGGGATGTTTCTTCTCTCCAGGTGCTGGTTGTTCCTGGGTGGGGTGTGTCAGAGGGGTGCACCCAGGAGCCTGCAGCCTGCTGCTGACCTCGGGGCTGGGTTTGTGATGTTTTCCAGGGTTGCTCAGTGTTTGGGAGCGCTCTCAGCTCGTGGCCGGCCTGCCGGGTAGACCCGAGGTGAGAACACCCGCCCTTGTCACCGCTCCGTCGCCTGAGCCTCCAGATCCCTTTCCCATCAGATCTGAATACCGATCTTGTGGTCGAAAAAGGAGGAAAAATAAAATTCAAACTGGTCTTGGCCTCTTGGCTGGTGCAGCCCTGCTCTGAGAGGGGCCAGTTGGAAGACAGTCTGTGTGGGCCATGTTCCTTCGGGAAGGTCGGGGTGGGAGTGAAACCCGGGTCAGGAGAAGGGACAGAATTTGGGTGTAGAGGGCAGAGGTGCCTGAAGATTTGCAGGTTGGGATTTGCTGGGGCTGGATCTGGTTCCTGGTGTGCAGCAGGAACACATCAACTGGAGAGTGTCCAGAGGAGGGACACACAATGGGTGAGGGGTTTAGAGGGGAAGGGTATGAGGAGAGGCTGAAGTCACTTGGTTTGTTCAGCCTGGAGAAGAGGAGACTGAGAGGAGATCTCCTGGGGGTCTAGAACTTCCTCCCAAGGAGCAGAGGAGGGGCAGGCACTGATCTCTTCTCTCTGGCCACCAACGAATGCCAGGAGCAGAGGAAATGGCAGGAAGATGTGGCAGGGGAGGGTGAGGTTGGCCATGAGGAAAAGGTTCTTGAGGCAGAGGGTGGTGGAGCACTGGCACAGGCTCCCCAGGGAGGTGCTCATGGCACCAAGCCTGACAAGATTCCAGCAGCATTTGGCCAAGGCCCTCAGGGACATGGTGTGAATGTTGGGATTGTCCTGTGCAGGGACAGGAGTTGGACTCCATCATCCTGGTGGGTCCCTTCCAACTCACAACATCCCGTGATTCTGTGACTTCAGATACTCACCTGTGGCTCTGGATTTTTCAGGAATGACTCGCTTTGTGGAAAAGGCCGAGAGTTCACGAGCCCCTGTGAAGGGGTTTGGTCTGATTTCCTGAATTGCAGAGGAGCTGTGACACGGAGCACGTGAGTGTCCTTGGTGGGTGACTGCCGGGTGCTTTGGGTGGGATCTCTCCAGTCCTGGGGGGACAGAGGAGGCTTCAAGCTGACTCTGCCTATGCTGGAAGTGGCCGAATCCTTCATCTGGGCTTTGCAGGTGCAAATGATCAACTTCATTAGTGAGGTTTTTAATTATCTGTAGGCAGAGCATGGGTGAGATCAGGGCAGCACACCAGCCCTCTGAGGGCAGCAGCCTGGTCCGTGATGACCCCTCTCTTTGGAGACTGTTGGATGAATCCTGCGGATATGGGGCTGAGGCCGGGCGGCAGCTACAAAAATCACCTGAACGCAGGTGAAACATGAAGCGACCGAGTCCAACTGCTCTTCATTCAGGCTGGGTTATTCTCTTTATTCTCTCTCCAGGTCAGTGTGAAGCTGAGATGAGCCCAGATCCTGAGCCATGAGCTTCCCCGGGTGGGAACAGCCACTCCTGTGCTCCGCTCGCTGCAGGGAGAGGGAACTTGTGTGGCTCCAGGTGCTGCTCAAGCTC